TTTTTTTTTTTTTTTTTTTAATAAGGCTGATGTGCTTACCCACTGCACTAATGAGGCACCTTCCAATTTTTTAATTTCCAGAAAAATAATGAATTCTGAGTATGGTATTAAGTTTGGTTCTAGGATTTTTTTAAGTAAACTGCACAAATAGTACAGTATATAGCAGATATTTCATGTTGAAAAAGTAAAATGCTGTTACAGGCAGTAATCTTTTTTTTCATGTATTTTGAAGTCAGAAGTGTAAAAATGCTCCAATCCTTTTTCCCTCACAGACGGAGTATGCAAGGTTTGAGAATGGCCGATTTGTATACCGAATAAACCGCTCCCCGATGTGTGAATATATGATCAACTTCATCCACAAGCTCAAACACCTACCAGAGAAATATATGATGAATAGTGTTTTGGAAAACTTCACAATTTTATTGGTAACTGTTTTGTCTCTTCCCTGTTTGGGCAAAACTCAGCCATGAGGCTGGTGGGGAAAGACAGGAAGGGGCTGGGAGGCACCAGGGCCTGGGCCAAGGCAACTGACCAAGCTGTCGGGTTGGGCCCAGGTGGTCAGTCAGCAGCTGAATTCACGCATCCTTAGGGCAAACCTGGCCTTGGTTGGGTTCAAGTCTGTAGGAGAGAAGGGGTCCCATCTGGCTGGGACTTCTGTTTGACAGAACTGGAATTCAGGGGGGTAGTAAAAAACAATGGTCCTAGGTCCTCAATTCTGGCTACACATTAGAAAGACCTTGGTATCTAAATATCCTGATACAAAGACTGCGAACTATATCCATTGAATCAGGGCCTCTGAGGATAGGATCCAGGCATGTGCATTTTTTTAAATTCCCCAGGTAATTCCAACATTAGCCAAGTTTGAGACTTAGCAGTAACATATATAAATCATAAATAAGGCAAAAGCAGACTTAGTGGGTTTGTAGTTTGAACATACCTTGATTCATTTCCTGAAGGATTTGCAAGGCCTTATAAGAAGTAACATACATTAAGACAGCAAAATATAAACTCTCAGCACTAGAAGGAATATAAGTTAGAACAGAATGTCATGACCAGGAAGGGTTGGAAATATTCTCCAGAGGCTGCCAAGTATGATTAAAACTTTATGGGCAGCTGAAGGGAAAGGAAAAATAATGGTGCTGTGTCCATCCACAATGGGAAAACTTTCTGGTTGCCCTGCACAGTGATTGTGTGGGGGGTTTTTTCCCCCCTTAATATTTAACTTTAAGACAAATTTCTCATGGAGGCTTCATATGGGGACTTGGGAAGTTTATTAAGAATAGTGTTGTCTTCAAAATATACCTATAACATATATACAGTAATGGGTTTTACAAGGCTCATTTTAAAAAAAATAACATTTCTTAATTAAACTCAAGGATAAAATGCCAATCCAAAACTTGGTGGAAAGAATTTTGCTAAAAGACAATTTTGCAAGGCAATATGGTGGTCACATAAAGGCCTGCTCTGTGACTAGGATTAAGAACTAAATACTTAGGAATTCTTTACCTGGAGTTTCTGGATTTGCTCCACCCATGGTTCTCAATCAGTGGTGTGCTGGTGAAAAAAAATAGCTCAACCTCAACACCCCCAAAACCCCGATTGCTCATTTCTATGCTGTAACTCCTCCCTCCATGGACAATTTCAAGCTACCAGTGGTTCATCAGCTCATGAAATTCCTTAATATTTAACAATGACTTTCAAGAGCCAGTAGGAGCGAGTCCCTTCATACAAATATAAAAAATGAATAAATAAAAATTTAAAAATTCTGAAGCCGAGGCCCCACCTCAGATTAATGAAATCAGAATTCCCAGGTAGTTCTGTACACAGGGGTTGAAATCCCTGCTCTGGGGGACTGGTCGATGATCCGATTTTCATTTATTCCGGTGAGAGATCCTTAGTGGATTCTTAAGTGTGTCCAGGTGCCTCTAAAATTTAGAAACTAGCAGTCAGGGAAAAAGTTTGGAAACATGCTCTTTAGTAACTAGTCTTCATTAGTATCCTTTTCCTTGAAGGTCTTTGGTGAAAATTGAGCAGTTCAAGGTTTGGGGTGTTGGCGGGTCCTTGTCACATAGGTACTCCCTGTTGTAGTAAAGAATAGATTACCTTAGTGCTCAGATGTTACATATGGAACATAGTCATGGAAGCATTTTGAGTAGGAAAGTTGGGTTAGATTTGCTTTTAGAAAGTTTCTTCTGAGAGTGGCATGGGGGCTTGAGACTGAGTGAGGCAAGGAAGGAGGCAGGGCCCGGGGGGTGGGGGCTGCGTGATCTGGGCCATATGGCTCAAGATCTGAACCAAAGCTGAGACTGGGTGTGAGGAAGAGAAAGGTGGATTGGAGCCACCAACTCAAGAGGGGAAGCAGATAAATATTTCAAAATGCACTTTGAAAAGTAAAGCCTATATAAATTAAAAGAAGGATCATTTGACATGATTCTACCACTGTTCTTTACTCAGCACTTATTTTACTGATCCAGGCACTGCTCATTAAAAGTGGTGAGCAAGGCACTCATGAAGCTTGTGTCTGTCATTGGCTATAGTGAAATAAGTTTAGTAAAGGTTTAGGAATCAGATAGGAGACAATTCTAGGATAAATGACTGCTCATGGGACAGGATTGTAGGAAATTTTCTTTGTCATAAAGAAATCAGCTTCCCCCAAAACCCCACACTAATTCTTCTGGTCCCTTCCAGGGCTCAGATTATGGGTGGAGACCCTTCCTGTAAGGTCCTTCTTACGCGTGGTAACTCAGATTGGTTTCAAGTCCAACTCCTAATATCCTGAATTCGTGCTATATGGGGCAGAGTGAGGCTGGACAGATTTCTACTCATTTACTTGTTGGACTTTAGACTGTTCCTCTCCAAGTAAATCAAAGTGATCATGGCACAGATGGAATCTGTTTTCATCCATGTGGTGGTTTTATTTACATATGTGTATATATACTTTTTTTTTTAACAGGTGGTAACAAACAGGGATACACAAGAAACTCTCCTCTGCATGGCCTGTGTATTTGAAGTTTCAAATAGTGAACATGGAGCACAGCATCATATTTACAGGCTTGTAAAGGACTGAACACGATTATTTATATATAGAGATACCTGTATATACACACACACACATATGTGCACGCACACACACACTCTCCATTATCGAACGACTGACTGTAAAACCTCACCATGCAGGGGTGGTGCCCTGGCCCTGAGGTCACCCTGCTTTTCTAAATCCTGTTTGAGTGAAGTCATTTTTTCATGTGTTCATACTATCATCGTAGCTGTGAAGTTCTGGTACAGTTGTAAAAAGAGAAATCAAGTTGTTTCTATGTGTTCCTCAAATCTGCAGCCCACAATTCCTCGGGAAAGGTGAACCTTAAGCACCCAAGTCTCTGTCTGCAGAGACCTGTTTCTAATTGTGGTAGAAAATATTCAGACAGAGCATTTGTCGTGGGACATTTACAGCCTTTATACAAATGTATTTAGTTCTTTTGTTTTTTTTCCAACATAAAATTCTTGTTTTAAGATACAAGTAAAATTAATCTTTAAATATAAATGTAAATTAGTACACAAAACTAAGAATCTTTAGACTTATCTTTGTAACTAATTAGGGTGGAAGTTATGAAAGAATGTAATTCACTAAATTATTTTTTAAATGAAACTTTTCTTTCTTTTTGAAACCAAATGTTAAAATATAGCCTTAAGAAATGCTTGGTAGAAATATCCTAATGAGACAAATTTGTACCTTTTTCAAGGTTAAAACTAATCTCCTAATCCATTGAACTCTTGAACAGGTATTACAAAGGAAGAAAACTTCCCCCCTTATCCTTAACATATATAGTATATTTAAAAATGTAAAACTGTATTGTACTAATGTGATGGTTGATTATTTAATGAAAAAGAAAAGATGGCTCTTTTCGCAATAAGTAGATAAATACTGAAAATCTGAACTTACAATGTTTATAGTCTTGTGTGTGCAGTTATATTTTATAAGGACAACCAAATTTTTTTTATTAAAATGAGTAGATATTTGAACCACTGAAATTTAATAACAAAAAATTTTAATTGGCATGAATACTGCACTGTGAGCTGCAAAGTATAAAAAATCCTGTGGCTGGGAGAAAATTTCATCAACCAAACAAGTAAAAGGCTCATCAGTTTTAGCATCTCTGCTCCCCAGAAATTGGCAAGATCCTCAAATGCCTGTGGATAAATTGTTTATTTCTGGTAATCCAATATGCATATTAACCTGCTATAAATATATGTATGTGTGTGTTTGTGTATACATATACACATATACATATATAGTTATTCAAGACATATTTATTGAACACCTAGTTAGTGTCACTGAGTTTGCTAGGTGCTGATTATGTATGTATATTTCAGTCTGTTTCTATAGATATATTCTCTAAGGACATCCATTTTCTTGTCATCTCTCAATAAGTCACAGTACTTGTTTGACCGAGGTTTAAGAGGCCCAGCTATCTATCTCTGACCTTTCAAACAGGCTCATTTGGGAGGTTCTTTTCCCAGGAGAGATTCAACTTTCCAACCCAACTATTCCAAAGCATGACCCAGGCAGACTTGGTTTGATGTAGCCACATACCTGTCTTAGGTTCTTTCCACAGTACTTCCTCGGGAAATACCCACAAGGACACACCCCCAACTTCCCAGAAAAACTGACACTTTTATAGTTGTTGGAAACACGTTAACACAACAGAATGTGAAATAAGTTTTATAAGATGTATGAAACCTATCAAGACTTTTCATCAAGCCAGAAAATAAAAACTTTGTTATATCACATCCAAGTAACTTATACACCCCTTTCATGTCTCACTGTCTGCTCTGACCCTGCTCGCATATTGATTGGTATCGTGGTCATGAGCATGAGGGTGACTGGGCCTGGTCTCTTCCAAATTCATACCCCTGGTCACTGGGAAGACCAGAGGAGAAAGTGCAAAACCTTCCCCATGTGGAGCGTACCCCCTTACGTAAACCAATAGGAGGGCGCCCTCCTGCCCCCCCCAAGGAGACTACCTTTTGTTCCCTGATTCCAACTAGGCCCTTGTAGGACTGCCTCAGTTGCCTGCTCTTCCACCTGGTCTTCACCCAAGCATTTAAGCTTCTATGGGTCACCATCTTAGGGATGTTGCTTTTGCTCCTGTCTCTGGCATCTTTCCTCATGGGAACCCCCACTCTTGCAGGAGCAGGACCCTAGACCTGAAGGCGTGCAAATGATTTATGTGGCTCAAGGCCAGGCCATCTCAGAACTCCAGGGGGAGAGGCATCTGGTTCATGTTCCCACCCAGAAATGGGGCTCTTCTGTGCCCCCAGGAGAGCTCTTGGGATTTACTTTTCAAAGCACAAATAGACTGAGACCCAAGAAGACCAGCTCGAGGGTAGTTCTGTCGGCTACCCTGGTCGCTGACTCTGAGTCAGGCTGGGTTCTCTACTGCTTCACTGCCAGCGTCCTCCAGATCCTTCTGTAGTTGAGTTTGGGGCGTTTACATGGACAACCCTGAGGATTACGTTTTGCTCTTAAATCTTTTTGCTTACATCTTTTGCTCCAAGATCTTTTAAAGTTACTCCTAGTCTTGTTCTCAAGTTTTCTCCAGGGCAGATATTTTTCCCTATCTTATCCACTGGTCCAGTCACCCAAACTCTTGGCCCTCTCTCCATCTCTCCCAAATTAGACCCTGGGGTGCCATTTGTGTGACATCTAATCCAAGCCTGTTTTTGGCCTCTCACCCTTTATGGCAGAGTACAAGCCTTCCCAAAGCATTGTCCTCACTGCTCGCTCCCAGGTGCTCTATCTCCTGGTGACCCTCCGCTACCAGGTTTGATTCAGGGACATCCCGTGCTTTCACTGGAGAAATCAGAGGCCAGGTTGTCATGCCTAAGCAGGGAGTAGCTGAAGAACTGGGTTCTGGTCTGTTGCATTCTTTCCCACCTGTGGTAAAATCAGGATTTCTTCAAGAACATGTCCCAGGTCTCCAGGATGTCCAAGCCGCCCAAGACCAGTGTCAACCTCGACACTTGACATTTTATACCAGATGCTTCTTTGTTGTGTGGGGCTGTCCTGTGCATGATAGGAGGTTTTGTAGCCTCCTTGTCCTCTGCTCACTAGATGCCAGCAGCACCTCTTCCCTCAGCTGTCACAACCCTAGATGTCCTCAGCCATCGCCAGTGTCCCATCAGACACAAAATTGCCCCTAGCAAAGAACCACTGCCCTAGACCACACAGGTCACAAATACCATATTTGAGAGTTTCTTTTTCCTCCCATTTCACCCCGAGATAGCATCTCTCCTTGTGTCAGACATCGGGAGGCAGGTAGGAATGTGACACAAGTGACATTGTGTCCACGTTTCCTCCTGTCTCAGAACTTCTGTTTCACCACAGAGTTTCTCTTGCCACAAGTATGTCTCCTTTGTGCCCAGGGAAGTTGGGAACAGCTGGTCACCATCATTCCTACGATCAACTCGCACCTGTTTAAAGAGCATTTCTAATTTGACCTTCAATCCTCAGTTTACCGGGTTGAAAAACACACAGCCATTTTCGTTATTTGTCATCAGCTTGTGGGCCTCTTGATCAGTCCTTTCATCGATTCAGTAAGTTTTCTCTGGTTTTCTACTTCTCTGCCTCACACTCAGTGCTGCTTGTATTCATAGAAGCCTCCGGAACATGTCTTTTCACCGTTAGGGATGGAGGAGGGAGGCCTGATAGAATTTTTTCTTTATTGAGCTAAAAGAGCACAATTGACTCCCCTTCATTGTGTAGGTGAGAGCGCTGAGGCTCTGAGGGGAGATGACTGCCCAGAGTCACCCGGCTTGGCTGGTGATGGGATGAGGGTGAGACTCCAGCCCCCCTGCCACTTACTCCTTGGTCTCTTCTGGTGGAGGTGGTTGTTCTTTGGTGCTCAGGATGCTTAAATGCCCCCTGCAAATGTGCGGGCGGGGTTCATTCAGAAGAGAGGGAGATGAAGAGCCCCCTCTGCCGGAGCCCCAGCAGCACCCCAGGCTGCTGCTTCCCGCCCGGGAGAGGCCCGAGCTGGCGGAGGCCACCACGAGCAGCTAGGCGAGCTGATGAGCCTTTTCGCTTCCTCTAAGTTCAGTCCACCAGCCACAGGCTCCTCGTCTAAAGTTCCAATTGCTCAGCATCCCGGCAGCCAAGTCCCGCACTCAGACCAGCCAAAAAACAGGCCCTTTCCAAGCACTTGGCGTGACAAGTCCCCAGAGGACTTGAAACCCCAAGTCCTTAGGTTTCAATACTGTAGTGGCTTTAGCAGTTTGTTTTTGTAGAAACATAAATTATTTAAATTCTGAGACGACAGTTTTACAAACCAGGTACCTATAATTTGTATGATTTTGTACGTGCTCTGGTACACTGCACTCGTCCTAACGAAGGGTAGACCCAATCTTGTGTGTTGGTGTCCACACCTGTGTCGTTTAAGAGGACACGTCTGTGTTGCTCGTTTCTTTACGTTGCTGTTTCTGTGGCAAAGCTCTGCACAGGTCATTTCTGAAAAGCCTTAAATCTTTGAGATGCCGCGTGTAGGGTACGCAGTGCAGAAGGCTGCCTCGGAACTGTGAGTCCTTTTGTAAGCTGGAAGCGTTTCTCTTACTACTGTTACTTTTTTAGGAAGTTTTAAATTCAGAACTGCCAAAGCGTTCCGGTAAGCAGTGCCTTAGTGATACCTTAGTCGTGCCGCCAGCCTTCTCTTAGACCCGTTCTCAGTGCCCGTTTACCGATTGGCCCAATACTTAGAACAAGCAAAAATTGTTTTCATTTTGTTTTTTAAGCCCATTTTTCTCCAGTTCTACAAGAAACTGACTGCTTGGTCTAAAATCAGAAGCTGAGCCTAAGTCAGTCCTGTGCCCAGACTCCCAAATGTATATACCAAAATGGAAGGTTTTACAACTTCATAGTTTCCTATGAAGAGCAAGTTGTACTTTTAATGTTGCCTTTTAAATTCACGACCAAATACTTAGCTATTTGTGAATCGTCTGCACTCTAGCATGAAAGTGCCTTTGGTTTGAGATTCCAGCTTAGAAAAGTGCTGCCATAATAACGATAATTTGTAGAGAGACCAAAAATATTTTGAGATCACCATAATGCCTTTGGTTTACTGGGATGAGTAACCAACCACAGGCCTCTGTCCGCAAGAGCACGACGTGGACCCTGCCTGCTGTGAGTCTGCGTGGGGGAGCCCCCGCCACCACCCACCGGGAACACGCTGCCGCAGGAGGGACCCCAGGAACTGCTGTGTTTGTGCGTGCCAATGATCCTGGTGTCATCTCCGCTCGTCAGCCAGCCCTGCAGCCCCGGGAGGGGGCTCCCACGCGAGCAGCAGGCGCTCGGCCACCGGCCAGACCGTCCCCCTGACGTCGCGTTCAGCCCCCGCAGAGGCCTTCTTTCCCATTCACACGACCGTGCGCACTTCTCTGGTTTACACGATGATACCATTTTGAAAGTTGGAAGCCTCAAACCGAGATGACAGTGCAGAACAAAAAGAGTTAGGGTCATGACAATTGAAGTGTTCTTCTTAGGGCCAAAATGTTGACTCCGAGTGTCCTGTATGACTGTGCTGTGAGAAACTTCCAAAGAGCACCATTCACAATTCGGCATTTTCAAAGAATGTTCCAGCCCTCAGAGGGGCCGGTCTTTAAAGTCCGCGTTGGCTTTTATCAAAACCTTGTCTAAATTGGGAAGGCGGGTAGAGGTAAGGAGGAGTGAGAGCAAGAGGCAAAGCACCAGCCAGACAAGCCAAGGAAAAAAGATTTTTCTTTTCCCGTCTAGACTTAAGTGATATCAGACGTCTTTGCAAGTTAGCCTGGACTCCTAGTGCATGTGTTCCGTCTCCCCCGGTGTCTTTAAGAATACCCTCTCTGGGCTCTGAAATGTCGGGAGTGCTTTCTGTCCACACCGCGTTGTGAGCATTTATAGAAATCTCTACAAGGAAAAAAAAAGACAGGAAAATTACTCCCACGGGCTCTAGTCGGCGCTTGCGTTCAGGCCCTCCCGTCACTGTACCATGCACCACGGCCGGAAGAAGCTAGTCCGATTCCCGTCGCCTCTGCTCTTTTCAGCTCTTACTGTGCTTTGTTTGGCAATCGTTTTCTCCCAGAAACTCATTGCTTAGACTGTTAAGAATGAAGGTTTTGTGTTTAAAATTTATTGCATCGCAAAGGACCTTTTCACCGAAGTCGTGCACCATTAAATAAGATGAAATATTTGTATTTATTGTCCTACTTCTAAGCCGTAACTTGTCTTCTCTGTGGATTTGCATTGAGTCGGTCAGATGCCGCACCACACTTTTGTATTCGACGCGCCCCGTGGGTGTGCCCCCCGCGTTCGTCACTCGGTGGGGTCAGATTCCAGCGGGCTCCCCTGACGCGTGGGCCCTCTGCGGGCGGCCTCTGCCCGCGGATCGTTTCCCCTCCTGTTTCTCTCGGAGAAGCCGAGAGGATCTGGGCGTAAATCAGTTGGAAGCTGGTCTCTGATTTTCTTTCATTTCTTTGCATTAGTCATTCTCTGTGATTAGTTTCACTGTGTAAATTAGATATTAACTGCACTTCTTTAAAAAAAAAAAAACCTCCCTGTTACCTCCTTGAAAGATTCACTTCTATAGGCCTTTTTTTCAATGGGCTCATGACTACAGATTAAAAAACAGTAAAAATAACAACAGTATGTGCCTGAAAAACGACAAAAAAAATTTTGTAACATTGAAAAAAAGAAACCTGAATAGCCTTTAATTCTTTAATATGCTTACATGTTCTGTAAATCGGTTTTCTCCACGTGTGTTTGTTCACATTCTAAGTGACTTAATGGGATTCTCACAGTCTGTGTCTTCATGTCACGTGGACAAAATGGGCTTGTGATGTAACTGTTTCATCCGGTCAGTGGTTCCTTTGATATTGTACTGCTGCTGGGAGTGGGCCGTGGGACCTGCCTTCGGGCGCTAAGGTTCCTCTTGGGGAGATTGGAGAGATTGGGGGGCGGGGACAAATCCTCACACACACTTTCTTAACCTATTTGCAGAAACTCTCAAAAGGCATTTGGTTAAACCTCTTGGCAGTACAGTATTCTCGTATTTGTTAACGTCTGTGTTTAGGTACTGGTACCTTTTTGTTTAAAAAATGTTCTAAGTGTTGGCTTTAAAGTGAATTTATCTTTAGTATGATAGTTATATGAAAATTATAGGGTTTGTGTGCAGAGAATTTTTTTATAAAGTGCTTTGTAAAAAAAAAAAAATGTATTCTAGCTTTCGCGGTACATATGTGTGATAACTTTAATATCCATGACAGTTAAGTGCAATTATTTCATCACTCTAAAAACGCTATTTTTGTGTCAGTTCCTGCAGGTGTTTTCATGTCTTTGCAAAGTGACACATTTTGATGCCTTCTTGATAAAGTGGTAGACATTTTGTAGCTTTCTAGAAACTTTGTATTCATACGGTATCAATGAAAAATAAAGACAATGAAAGTGTGGGTCACCTTTTTTATCTGTAAAAGTGTATGTTGTTGAAGATGAAATACCCTTTCTGTGTTGTGCTGCTGATAGGAAGGACAGAGTGAAGGGGGTTGAAGCCACGGTCCCTTTGACGGTGTCCACCAAGCTCAGTTAGTGGAATATCAGGCGTTATGTCTAGTCAGGCTTCTTAAAAACATCCCCAGGCCAGTCTTTGTGTCTGCCTGTCTCTCTCTCTCTTTAGTGCTTCATTAAAATTGACATACGTTTTGCAGAGCAGCTTACCTCTGGATCCCAGGCAACCCTGAGGAACCTTGTCCCTCCTTCCATGGTACCATAGCAGGGCCTTGGAGCACCGAAAAGAAACCAGCTCAGCCACTGAGTGTCAATCCGACGTGCTGGGCATGTGCCGGGAGCCAGGGCCGAGCAGGCCGTGGACACAGCGGGAAATACAGCGTGGTGTTGCCGGCACGGTGCTCACATCCTCAGTAGCGGGCTGCGTGTTGAGCTGCAGCCCCGGGCTCCTGTCCTCGGCCTCACTGTGGGATTTATAACACGCATGTATAACGAGGCCTTGGATTCACGACGTATTTACTGTATGCTGGGCACCGGGCCACCCGGCCAAGTGTATTGGTGCGAAGTGTCTATGTTATTTCCTTTGATTCTCAGAATAGTCCCAATGGCAGTGAAATTATTACCGGCAATCTGAGGTTCCGAAAGAATAGGTCGTCCAAAGGCATGACTGGTGAGTGGTGGAGCCTTAAATAGGTCACCCCGACTCTCCATCCTGGACTCCTGGCCCCTGCATTTTGGGCCAGTGGACGCCATGGAAGCAGCTCAAGGCTGGGGAGAAATCTGGGTGGATGAGGGGGGCAACTTTCCTAACGATGACCTTGGGCTTTTGACAACAGGACCGAATGTACCCTGGGATCCTTTGGTTTGAACTAGACCTCAGAGGGTCTTACTTCTCCCCATTTCTTTGAAATCTTGAGGGAAGGCCTGCCTGAAATCCCCTGAGGCATTGGTGGGAGTGGGAACAGAGAAGAATTAACCGTCCAGCTCCTCTGAAGGGACATTTGCAGCCAGCCGCCATTTGAGAGACATGCTGTTGTCCCGTGAGCCTGGGGCAGAGGGAAGGGGACTGTGGAGCCTTTTGCTGAGGCCTTATTATGTGGAAGGCACCTGCATACGCACTAGTCACTATTTCCTCTAACCCACGTGCTGTTGAATAAAGAAATCATTTCCAGTAAGGAAATTGAGGCCCAGAGACTGTAAACCCTTGTTAGGGCTATAAAAGCTAGTAAAGGCAAGAATCTGGAGGCGGGGAAAGCCCCTCCCTTGCAATTCAGGCTCCACCCCTGGCTCCTTTGCCCTCCAGCTCCTCTAAAGCAAGGTGCTTTAACACTTCAAAAGCATCCTTTGTTAGCACCTGTGGTTCCAGCCATTGGAGCTCAGCAAAGAGAGTGACACCCTAGGTAAACTAACTTCATTGAGTAAAGATGTTGGAGGAACAAAGGGAAAGGTGGGTAAGATCAGGAACCGAGCACCTGGCTGGGAAGCCCTGACCATTCCCTCCTGCCTTACTGCAGCCGGGGAGGCTGGAGCAGAGCTGCTAGCATTGAAAGCCAAATTAGTTGCTGCTGTTAAGTAATCAGTGATCAACTGGTATCACTGCAATGTAAACGGTGTTCTATAAGCCGGTGAGGCCTCAGAGTAGCCACAGAGTTTCTTAAGCTGCCTTGAAAAAGGCATCTTAGTTCTGTCTAACACCCCACACGTCACATTGGTCTAGGTTGTAACCAGCAAATGGGCTGCCAGCAATCTGACTGCATTTTCTTCAAGCAACATTCCCCCATTTGCTTTCGCTCCCAAGAAGCTCAGAAAGATGTACTTTATGCTTATTGAAAGATGTGCTCTGTGCTTGTGATAGGAAACAAACTATAAAGGCACAGAAAGATTGAAAATAAAAGATAAAAACTGTATCAGCAAAACACTGAAAGAACGCCAATGTAGCCGATGTAGCTATATTGTATCATTTTCACACTAGCATAGCTCAAGGAAGAAATTACTGGAGCTCAGGAGAATTACTTCAAAATAAGACCAGACCCCAAAAATGTAGGCCATAGAGGATATCAACAATGTGCTGTCCTAATTTACAAAATACAAAGTAATGAACCCAACAATTGGAGACTATATGTCATTTTCAAGCACTCGTGGAATTTTTATAAAAAATTACCTAAGGCCAAGGGTATGGAAACTGGCCTGTGGGCCAAATATGGCCTGCTGCTTGTTTTTTGTAAATAAAGTTTTATTGGAACACAGCCACTACTGTTTATCTACTTATTGTTGTGGCTGTTTTCATACAACAAAGGCAGAGTTGATTAGTTGTAATGGACCCTATCTTATAATACCTAAAATAATTGCTACCTGGCCGTTTATAGGAAAAAAAACTTGCCAACTCCCATCCCAAACCAAAAAGCAAGGTCTTGCACACAGTAATCTTTTTAAATTTATCTTTATTATTGAAAGTATTACAAATGTCCCCCTTTTTCCCCAATTGATCCCCTCCCCCCAGCACCCTCCCCCCTTCCAGGCGTTCACCACACTATCATTGGCTGTGTTCATGGGTTATGCATATATGCATATAAATTCTTAGGTTTATCTCTCCCCACCCACCCCTGCCTTCCCTCTGAGACTTGTCAGTCTGTTCCATGCTTCTGTGTCTCTGAATCTACTTTGTTCGTTGGGTTATTTTGCTCATTAGATTCCACATATGAGTAAGATCATGTGATACTTGTCTTTCTCTGACTGGCTTATTTCTCTTAGCATAATACTCTCCAGGTCCCACCATGCTGTCTCAAAAGGTAAGGGATCCTTCTTTTTTATAGCTGCATAATACTCCATGGCGTAAATGTTCAAAAAGATGCTTGAAATGATTTCAGTCTTCTTGAACTTATAGAGATTTGTTTTGTGTCCTAACATGTGGTCTGTCTTTGAAAATGCCCCATGTGCACTTGAGGAGAATGCCTATTCTGCAGCTTTGGGGTGAGATGTTCTGTACATGTCAATTAAATCCATCTGATCTAGTGTGTCATTTAGAGACAGTTTCCTTGTTGATTTTTTTGTCTGGAAGATCTGTCCAGTAAAGTCAGTGGGGTGTTAAAGTCCCCTACTATGACTATATTGCTGTCAATCTCTCCCTTAAAGTCCTCCAGAAGTTTTTTTTCAGCCTGTGTGAGTCTTTTGTTCTGAGGGGGTCTCCTATGGACAGCATATATTTGGGTCATGTATTCTTATCCATTCAGCTACCCTATGTCTTTTGATTGGAACATTTAATCCATTTATATTTAAGGTTATTATTGATAGGTGCTTATCTATTGCCATTTTATTTCTTTATGCCTATATTTCTCCTTCTATTTCAACTTATCACAGCAGCCCCTTTAACATTTCCTGCAATGCTGTTTTGGTGGTGATAAATTCCTTTAGCCTTTTTTTTTTTTTTTTTTTTTTTTCCAGGAAGCTATTTCACCATCTATTTTGAATGACAGCCTTGCTGGGTAGAGCATTCTTGGTTTCAGATCTTTGTTTCTCATTACCTTGAATACTTAATGTCATTCCCTTCTGGCCTGTGGAGTTTCTGATGATAAATCAGCTGACAGCCTTATGGGAACTCCTTTGTAGGTAACAGATTGCTTTTCTCTTGCTGCCTTTAAGATTCTATCTTGAATTTTTGGCATTTTAATTATGATGTGTCTGGGCATGGGCCTCTTTGGGTTCCTCTTTCTTGGGACTCTCTGTGCTTCCTGAACTTGTGTGACTTTTACCTTCATCAGGTTAGGGAAGTTTTCTGCCGTTATTTCTTCAAACAGGTTCTCTAACCCTTGCTTACTTCCTACCTTTCCTGGCACTCCCATGATGCGAATATTGTTATGTTTCATGTTGTCCCACAGATCCTTTAAACTGTCCTCCTGTTTTTTAATTGTTTTTTCTTTTTGGTTCTCTAATTGAGTGCTTTTTATCATCCCTGTCTCCTAATTCACTGATCTGATCTTCAGCTTCCCCTAATCTGCTGTTTATTCCTTCCGGTGGTTTTTTATTTTTATTTTTATTTCTACTATGTCATTCTTTATTTCCTTCATAGTTTCCATATCTTTTCTTATGCTGTTGAGCAACCTTGTGATCAGTATTCTGAACTCCATATCTGATAGATTGTTTATCTCCATTTCATTTAGCTCGTCTTCTGGAAAATTCTTTTGTTCTTTCATTTGGGGCTTGTTTTTTTGTCTCCCCATTTTGGCTGCCTGTTTGAATTTGTTTCTATGTATTAGGTAGATCTGTTAGGACTCCCAATCTTTTGGATGGATCTCTGGTGCAGGCCAATGTCAGATGCTGCTGTGACTAGCCTTGGGTACCCTGTTTGAAGCTTTCCACACTCCACAACTTATGGTTCCCTCTGCTGGGCCTGGGTGCCTTTGGACAGGACCAAGATGTGCACCAAAGTCTGCTTTTCTAAGCCCTGGGTCGAGAAGCAAATCAGGCAAAGACTCAAAGCACCTAGAGGGTGAATGTTATTCAGACTCTTAATGAGCCTCAGGCTGTAGAAACTCCACAGGGTGGGAGCAGAGGTTTTCCAGCAGGGTGGGGCAATTGCTTCCTCCCCAGGCAGAAGCTACTTGGAAGGTAAATGTCTGCCTAAGAAAGATGTCCTCTGCCCTGTGATGGAATGACTCAGCACAGGAATCCAGGTGGCTGCCCTCTGAGCTTTATCCCCCATGCCAGCATCCCTAGATTCTCCCCACACACCTCCAGTCCACAGTGCACTCTGCCCTCCTTCCACCGGAGCCCAATGTCAGTGGCTGCACACAAAACTTGTACATTGGCTCTTTAAGAGGGTGCCTGTATGTCCAGCTGCCTCCCTAGCAGACAGAAACCCCACTCCTTTTCACAGCCAGATGTTATGTGAGCACCTTTCTCTGTTCTGGTGCTCTTGGCTGGGAAGCCCAGCTTGGGGTTTAGGCCC